ATACACACAGCTTACCCTCCTACATCAATACAGCACCCATACCCCTCTGACTAGCATCAACTGAAATAGTTGTAACTTTATGTACAACAAAAAAACTACATTTATTTCTATTAAACCTGATGCCTCTTGTTGTAGCTGTTTCAAAGTCTTCTTTCAAAATTTTATCATGTTTCCCTGAAGAATCTGCATAAATTATTATGTCATCCGCATATATACTACAGCCCTCAATATTGCCAAAAATCTCGCTCATTCTTTCCTGATAAACTTCAGGGGCACTAGCTAATCCATATGGCATTCGCATAAAACAATACCTGCCCCAAGGTGTCATAGAAGTTGTCATCTTAGAACTCTTCTTATCTAAAGGAACTTGTAAAAAACCTTGAGCAGCATCCAGGGTAGAAAAATACTTTGATTTGCACCGGAAATCTTAGAGTCAACTCCTCTAATGTTGTAATTTTAAAATAATGCCTTTTGATGGAACGATTCACATCTGCTGGATCCAGACAAATTCTCAGATCTTCATTTGGCTTTCTCACAATTACAAATGCATTTACCCATTCTGTACATTCATTCATTCTTTTTATAACCTTCTGATGCACTAACTGATCTTAAGAATGTTTCATTTTATCCATAATTGGAAAAGGAACTTTTCTAATTCGATGAACTACTGGGACTGCATTCCCTTTTAATTCAATTGTATAGGCATTTTCTAAACAACCCAAACCTTGAAAAAAATACAGTGAAACTTCCCTAACTCGAATCTTCAAGGGATAGGAAGTGGAGTTCGAGTTACGGAAAATTCGATTTATGGAAAAATACACAAAATTGAGGATATTTGAATATATATCATGTATGTATTATAAAAAAGTAGTTACATATACATTATATGAACCAAGACAACTCTATCTGTCGCTGCTGGTCACTGAGAATCGGTAATTTTCCCAAGTACACTAAATGCAGTAGGTGCTTCCTCGAAAAATTCGAGTTACGCTTAGTTGTCACCACGGTTGACACTAAATTTTAGTTCGAGTTTTAGAAATATTCGAGTTATAGAGATTAGAAATACGACTTATGGGGAAAAAATACATGCTTAGTGAGGTTGTGAAAACCTATTTGTTTGTAAAGAAAATTCGATTTAGAGAATATTTCGAGTTCGGGAAGTTTGAGTTAGAGAAGTTTCACTGTAATCATATTCACTGAGCAAGAACTGCAAATTATTACCCTTCTGAGTTAATGTTTCTGATTTTTCTAGACTATCTATTCTCTGAATAAGATTCAAATCAATACATGACTTCAAACCCAAAATTGGAATACTATTTTCCATTGTATTGACAAAAAATGAAATTAAATATGTTTTTTCTTTATGTTCACAGTTTAGATCTACTTTGCCTGCAATTGGAATACGATCCTGGTGTATTAGAGCACAAAGTTACTGGGGTTTTAACAATTTTTCTAGGATCAAAATTAATTTTATACAACAATTTAATAGGAACAACATTTACCAACACTCCTGTGTCTAGTTTGAAGTTGATGTTGTGTTTCTGTTCAATTGTCAGTACCTTAGCCCATGATATCCCTCCAGGGCTTTTCGGAACTCCATTTACTTCAATCCCGATGCTAAAGGCCACGACTCGATACTATCCATGAAAAGAAAATTATCTTCAGAACCTTGCCAATTACTCTCTATAGAATTAAAACTTTTACGAAATTTATATTGATTCTTTTTACTATTATGTCTTACATGATTCCTATTGTCATTAACACCTCTAGCATTATGATTGAATTTATTGTACCCATCAGAAAAATTTAAATAATTATTAGTAAAATTTGAATTAGAATTAGATTTGCAAACAGAACTAAAATTTTTACATAACTTGCATTGCTTTCTACGTGTAGGACAGCGCTGTTGGAGACCATGGCTATATCCACATCTACCACATCTCTGTCTCTGATCACCCGTATTTTTATTAGAACTATGAAAGTTTTCTTATCTTATTTATTCATTACGATACCTACAGCAATAGCCAATTACAGATATCAACTTAACATATAACGTAACAACACAATACAATATAATAAAATACATTTGGTTTCCACTCTTAAGTTTGGCTTCGATCAACTTCGATTAACCTTTTAAATGTGTTCGTGGAATCAATATCAATGTTTGAAGCATACAAATTAAAAAAGTGACACATTTTATATAATGGAGAGTTTTTGAATAGATTTGTTCTTGGCTCAGCTAAGTAAAACACCTGGGAGGTACGAGAGATAATCCGGTTTATACTGAATGGCAACTGACTCAAAATATCAGGACATTTAATATTATCCTTCAATAACTTGTACATTGTGCACAGAAGAATTTTGTTTCTCCTTTTTTGTAATGATAATCTACGAAAGACCCCAAGGAGATGTTCATTATCACATCTCCGAGGAGGAAATATTTATTTCAGGACATCTAAAGTATGATTGGTAGGGCTTTGTGTCTATATGGCATCAACAAGTTGATCAGCTGCCAAACCATGGGCCTAGGAACCATTTGTGATGAATTTATTTTTTTCTCTAGGGTCTTCTCTGAAATGATGCATGTTCTTATAACATCATCCAGCGTGAAATTTTTGTCTAGCAATAGTCTTTCTCGCAAGGACTCTGATAAATTGCCACATATGATAATATCCTTAAGTAGGCAACTTTCCAAATCTCTAAGTCCACACGATGAGGCAAAATTCTTGATTTCAGTTATAAAATTTTCTATAGTTTGTCCTTCTTTTTGTTTGCATTTTAAAAGTTTATATCTCTCATAGGATAAATTAGTTTTAGGTGGAAAATGTGCATCAAATTCATCAATCAATTTACCAATTTCATCTTCATCGGCCTCGGCAATTTTAAAAGTATTAATAATACGCATACCCTCATCTCCAATTAAGGTCAAAAGCTGGGCACATTGAATAGCTTCATCCTTTTTTGAAATCTTTGTAGCCTTGAGGTACGACATGAATCTTTGTTTCCAAAATCTCCAATTTCCTGATAAATTTCCGGAAAATACCATTCGGTGAAATACCACGGAAATCCATTTTCTTCTTTTTCTTCCAAAAAACTTTTATACTTTTCAGGATGATCGCCGATTTTCAAAAATTTGCTTAGGTTCTTTGTTCGTACTGCGCCATGTATTATTGAGGTTATGAGGTGCTTTCATATTTCATACATATTACAAACGTAGCTTCATGCTATTTGTTTAAATTTTATGTCATTGTCATCAATTTTGAAAAAAAACTTGACAATACCTGCTACCTAAATATAATAAAAAGAGGACGGGAAATGAGGACGGGAAATGGAGCAGTGAAATGAAAAGACAGTAAAGTGACATTTTCAAATTTTTAAAAAGTCTGTAATGTCAACATTACATTATTTAGGATAGGAAAGTGAAAATTTTACGTTCTTATCTTGAACCATTTTCAACTAAATAACCTCCTAAAGTTAGTAAAACAGCAGTATTCAACAATCAATATCTTAGAAATAATTGAACGTTAGTGAACATGGAATACATCAATTTTCGTTTAAATGAGAATCATATACAAAGTGGCAAAAAAGTCGCGCACTCGTTCGCGCATGTAATACCTGTAAATTTTTAATTACCTCGTAAACGAAAAAGTGATCTTGATGAAAGTTGTTCAGTAAATTATTTCCCACATTTCTACCCAGACGATTTGTTTTCGTCACTTCTGGTTTGTTTGCTATCCAGGCCAACTTTGTTTTTTCAAATGAAACACCCTGTATATGATTCTACTAGTTTGTTGATTTAACACAGCACATATTACCTATTTCCTCTCTATAACGGAGTTAGAAGTTGCGCAGTCTTAACTTCAAACACGATGTATAGCAACATTTTTATAAATTCAACTAAGTACCTACTTACTAATAATTTTTAGGTAAACTGTGGTTATCATTTTAATTATCTTCGTTTTGACTCGCTATTCGTTGGCGAACAATGCTACTGACCCAACTTTAGTGAATTATTCTTTTATTCTTTCTCTGACTATTAGCAACGCCGCCGCTGAAAATGAACCGCCGATACGAGTTGCATGTATGACAGTGGCAACATGTTGCTAAGACTATGATATCAAGATGTTCGGGTGTTAGCTCCAATCTTCCTTGATAAATTCGATTTTTTTTGTGAGAATCCCAATACCATTCTCGCTAACGTTTCTAGCTCTACTCAGTCTGTAATTATAGACTTCTTTATTTTCATCGCCCCGTAGTTGTTCACCAGGACGAGTCTCATTTAATGTTTGTTTAGAGGAAAAGCCTCATCTCCAACTAGGACATCTGTTTTTCTTCCGGGCAAAGGTTTGTCAGGTGGAACGTCGAGATTCAAGATCTTTGAAAAATCTTTTTCCGAATGAACAGTATAAAAAAACACCTCCATCACTGTTTTTTCCTTATGCACTCACATCAATTAGTGTAAACTTAAGTTAGCATCAAACTCGGCAAGAAGAATAATGCCTCATTCTCACTTGCGCGAAATTCGCTCTTTATTGACATTGCTTCAACAATTTGACTTTTGATACACGCATAAAACGTCAAATTGTCGAAGCAATGTCAAAAAAAGAGTGAGTTTCGCGCAAAAAGAGCGAATTTCGCGCAAGTGAGATTGAAGCATAATGCTGCAAGTTTTTTTATAGTTGAAGAACATCGATCCACTTTTTTTTGGTTATTGAAGGACAACATGCTTTCCATCGATTCCAATTCAAATTCAATTTCTGACGAAATTCTTTTTCTTTTTGCTGCCACATCTTTCTAGCATTGCAATTGGCTTAAGATCATTCCAAGTTGCCTCACAAGTGTCATACACAATTTCTCGTACAGTTGTTTCTCCAAGGCGATAACTGAAACCAAAACTGTCACCCGTCACTAAAAACCTAAAAAAAACCAATTCAATAGAATTTTTTTTTTTCAGCTGTGGACTGCAAGAATAAGTGGAAATCACTTCGCGATTGCTACAGAAAAGCTCTAAAAAATAGAGCTACAAAGTCTGGACAGGCAGCAATGAATAAGAAACCTTTGAAATTCGAAAAACAGATGGAGTTTTTGAAACAATATATATCTGAGAGAGACGGAAAAAGCAACATTCAGTCACCACAATCTGGTTGCAGTTTTGTCAGTGACGATGAAGGAAGTAACACTGAGATATCAGAAACGTTATCCAAGGAACCAACCCCAGTTGAGACACCACTAGCTTCTCCCGGAACATTATCTTCGACCGAAACCTTGAGAAAAACAAAAAGAAAAAGTAATGCCTCAGAAGCATTCCAGAAGTATATGGACTATAAAAAATTGAAAGACAATAAGCCAGTCGATCACCTGACTAAATATTTCGCTAGTGTTGAGGAAACTGTGCGAACCTTTCCACTACACCTGCAAATTAAAATAAAATCTGAATTTTCGTCAATTTTACACAAAGCTGAATTTGAAGCCATGTCATATTATAATCAATCTAAAGTTTTGCAACAGCCTCTTTGATCCAGCGCACCACAATTTTCAGCAACCAATCACCACTATCATGCAACGTAGTTCAACATTCTTTTATTTAACCTTCTTCAGGTAGCACACATAAGCTCAAGCTCACAGGAAACAATATTGCAAACATTGGGACACGCAAGTTCTATATATCCCCAACAACAATCTTTGCAAACATGGACGGATGAAAAACTATATCCACAACAATTGCTTAACATAATATATTACTCTGGAAGGAAAAAGTCAGTTGGATTTCCTAAAATCACAGTCAGATTTATATTATCAACCCAGCATTTTTTCTTGTTTTTTCTTCTTCTTCCATATAGTAAATTAAACTTAATACAAAGAGATCTTCTTCTGACGAACTGCTCATCGTACCTCGAATAATTGTATAAAGTGTAACGGTTCGCTAAGGTTATGGTTTTCGTGGGTTACCAGCAATCGTTTCACTCAATTGAGACATAAGAAAGGCGTCAATATATATGGATCACCTCTGGGCTGGAAACTTCTCTAAATGGACTAATTCTCTGATGAAATGGAGACAAAAAATGTTTTTTACATTTTTTATTTTTAAACATCTTTAGACGATAAAGAGGTAACATTATCGCGGTAAGACTGAATTAAATTAAAAAGGAATGCAGACCTGGACCGTCTGGAAATATAGGCATCATAATCATTGTAGAGGCTAATGAAGAAGAAAAAAAAAAATGGATTCCAAAATAGAACAAAAAACAAAATGTAACTACCAGAATGAAGTTGAATATTTGAGAGCCTCAAGGTATTTCCAATCTAGTGGCCAATTTGGGGATTTTTTGGAAGGTTCTGATTATCTAGATTTGTAAAAAAAAAGGAAACCTAGAGGTTAGAAATTTTTGTTTATGTTATAAATTTTATTATAAACTGATAGTAATACAAAATAAAAACTAAACCCTTTATATTCAATACAAATAAACTTTTTTTCTTATACATATTTGTCACAAACAATTTTTTTTTCCATGATGATATAGGATTTTGGAGCCACATTTCCTGAAGATAAGTAACAATGACTATACAATACATATTGTTTGATTCTTGTTCTTCCAGGTTAAGGTCGGGAGTACCTACAAATAATACATTATATTATTTTTATGCTAGGTTATCATCAGGTGACGTCTCCTTTTACATATCTGAATAATGCAAAAAAGGCTGTCAAAAAACTATATCTAACTTTAAGTACCGGAGAAATAATGCCTTAAATTGCTGCATAGATACTAACGAGGACACAAGTATATTCTGGTTTCAAATTATTACTTATATTTTCTCCATGAAACTGTAAATCTCTAAATATAAACCATGGAATTCGATAGTCTCTGTTTTTTTTTTTTCATATATTTATGGTATATTTAATAGTATGGGCACTCGTCCAAACTTGTATTTTACGACCACGTGTCCCAAATGGCCTTTGTGGAGAAATTCTAATACGCAGTCATTAAAATACTGAAGTTCCTTGGGAGCCCGAAAGCGAAAGCTTCCCTTTTGGCTGAACAAAGAAGATTTTGAGCCCTCTCTTCTTTGATAGGACAGACTCAGGTGTTTCAAGTTTGCACAAAGATATTTTATGGGTTTACGGCGCGTTAAACACTGTAGGGTGCTATTTTTACGTTTTTGCCTTATTTACAGCAAAATATTTGTTTAAAGACGCTGTTTGATGTTAAGTTGAAAACAAGTTGAAATACTTCTAGGCCAGGGCAGTTAGCTGAAAAAATGGCCTTTAGGAGAAGTTTTTGCAATCAAGCTGATTTTTTCCCAGATGATAGTACCCATCAATAGTACTCTGTAAAAAAAAGTTACACCTCCTAGGAGGCTTGCTTTTTCCGCCATGATGAATTGAAGATGGCGGCTCGTGCTATTCTTGAAAAAAATCGTAACTTTCTTATTTATTAACCGATTTTCATCAAGTAAAAAAAAAACCTTTGTTTTGGACTAAAGAATGAAATAAAAATATAAAACAATTTTGACAGGTAGTATATCTGTCAAAAAAAAAAAAAAAATAGGAAAATGAATTGGTTTTCTTCCATTTGACCGTAGGTACTTCTTAGTAAAAAAAGCTTAAAAATATGCGCTTTTTTTTTCTGATTTTGAAACAGTTTTTGAGTTTTTCATAGGTTAAGTATGCAATACGTGCGTAAAGCACCTTTTTTCACTCATGTGATTGTCGCACTCGCCTTCGGCTCGTGCGTCAAAATTCACATTCGTGAGAAAAGGTTCACTTTACACACTTGTTGCATAAATACCTATTTCTACTACCGCACGTGAAGTACTTACTTTACGCACTATTTTAACAGATAACTAAAAGTTAACTTCTGGAACTACCATGAAAAGTAACGTCATTCGAGAAGTTAACTTTTAGTTATTCTGTTAAAATAGTTTTATAATACCTGCCCTAAATTGTATTAGTTTCTTCGCAAAAATGCATAAATAATAAATACCCACAAGTAAGAAATTTTATATCAACCCTTTTTCTGCACTAAAAATGTGGTTTTACTTTACACCCTAGGTTGTGAACTAAGTTAATAGACACTAGGGCGTAAAGTTTGTGGTATATTTTTTCAAATGTATGGCTTTATATTGTCGGTACTAGAATTTTTTTTTTGGTATAAAACATAAACAGATGTCTAGAGTGAACCTTTTTTCACAAATGTATGAAAAAAGAAGCTTTAGACACCTGTTGCATACATCTTTTTTTCTACTACCGATAATATTGTAAGCGGACGATATAGATCATAACGCTCGAATGCCATAAATTTGAAAAAAATATACCACAACTTTACGCCCTAGTGTCTAAAGTAACTTAGGTAACAACCTAAGGTATGAAGTAAAATCACATTTCTAATGCAGAAAAATGGCAGTAAAGGCTTTTATAATAGGTATAAAATTTTATACTTGTGTGTATTTATGCATTCTTGCGAAGAAACTACAATTTAGTAAACTTTTCTGTTGTTGTGATTTTTTTTTTGTAACAAGTAGGTACCTAAAAAACCTATATTTTAGGTACGTGAAACAAACAATACTTTTTTGTAATAACACAAAGATGTGAAGTAAATGTGAAAACATTAAAAATTTTAAACTGACTATGCATTGGTAGCTGCGACAGGTACATGCAGACTGACAAGGTTGCTATGACGACTTCAAGGAACTAGGCCAAAAATGAAGATTTACGGGCTAGGCCGGAAATGAAGCAATTTACAGACTGAAATGAGTCCAAAGAGTTTTCACATCCTGCATACATTTTTATTTTTTTTTTGGATTCTCAAGTTCTTTTCGACTATATCTCGCGAATTACTCAACTCACAAACTCAAAAACTGTTCCAAAATCAGAGAAAAAAGCGCATATTTTTTAAAAAAATTTACTAAGAAGTACATATACGTTTTAGAAAAAATTCAACAGAACCAATTCAATTTCTATTCTTATTTTTTATTTTTTTGACAGAAATACAACCTGTGAAAATAATTTTATATTCTCATTTTATTCTTTATTCAAAAATAAAGGTTTTTTTTTTACTTGACGGAAATCGGTTAATGAATGAGAAAGTTACGATTTTTTTTAAGAATAGCACCAGCCGCCATCTTCAATTCATCATGTCGGAAAAAGCAAGCCTCCTAGGAGGTGTAACTTTTTTTCACAGAGTACTATTGATGGGTACTGTCATCTGTGAAAAAATCAGCTGGATTGCAAAAACTTCTCCTATTTTTGCTAACTGCCCTGCCTATAAGTAACTGGTTGAGTTTTTAAATGGAATCCGAATGTGCCGTCCTTATTCCTTATTGTTGTTTGGTCATAGAATTCTTCACAGTTTTGATCATCTTCTGTATACTTGTTAGCTTGTGTCACTTCCTCCAATTCCCAGAGTTTAATCAATTTTTTGTCTTTTTCTGATTGGGTTACCAGGCTAATGACTTGTATTGGTAATCTTTTGGTCTGAACTAGACCTGATACTATCTATGAAAGTTCTGTGTTATGCTTAAGAAGATCCTCTTCAGTTTTCTGGATGCCATTAAGTATGGCGTCTATGGGACCGGGCTTCATGAAGGTCGGATCGATCTGCTAGTAGTTCATTTTTCCAAGAATCTATTCCACTAATTTGGACTTCGTCTGCAGGTGTTGTTCGAGTTAACTTGGCTAGTACCATTATGTTAACTAGCATAGTGAATTTGCAGAAACTCGTGGTTTTAGGTGGACATCATACATTATCATTAGATACGAATTGATTTTTTTCTGCTGTCAATAGAATTAGGAAGCTAAAGCATTGGTTGATGACATGCCGTCTTCGATATTGGTTTCCCTTACTGACGGCGTTACAGTCTCTAAAAATGAAATCTTCTTTCCAAAAATTTCATGAACGTATCAAAGTCTTGTATTTCATGAGGGTTCTTGTTCTTAGACTTTGTTTTGTCTCTGAATCCCATTTCCTTGAAATAAGTCGTATTATCATTGAACTGTCTGTTTTCATGCCCAAAGAACACTGCCCAAAGTATACGGAAATTATTTTTATGTCAGAATTGGCTGAATTTTTTATATAATGTAGATCACGCCTTCCTGTTTAAAAGTTATCATTGCATCTATCCTGAAAAATGACTCCTTCTTGAGAAAATTAATTTCATAGGTATGTAGTAAGTAAAACGCTTGGGCATTGCAATGGACGTTCAATGTAGCACGAATAGGTAAACTTGTGACGCAGTGGTGTGCTACATGCAGTCATTTTTCAGGATTGGTGCAATGGTAACTTTCAATCAGAAAAACGTGATCTACATTATATACAAAATTCTACCAATTCTGACATAAACACAATTTCCGTATACTTGGGGCAGGGTTCTTTGTGATTGCTTGAAGGCATTTCTTGGTTACATCGTGTAATTGATCAATTTTATCTGCTCTTTCCATTTGTATTACTGGAAGATCAATGATTTTGTCTAGAAATTTTGAAACGAGAAGTCTTGAATTTTGATAAGCTCCATGCTGTCTCGTAATTGACTTCTGACGTTGACAGATGATGCTGAATGACCTCACTACTGGCTTCACCTCGTACATATGCGTCTTCAAGAATTGTATATTTTCTCGGTACTGATTGCTTGATTTTTATCTATCACTTGCTTGATAATTCATAAGATACGAGCCAACTGTCGTAATTTCCGTGAAAGAGTGGAATTGTTACTGCTGGAACCGTTACATGCTGTCTGGTAACTGTAGGTGCTACTGGAAACGCAGGTTGAATTGAACAGCAGAAAAAAAAGGAAAAGTAAGGGTTTACATTCACCTAACGTAGGGGAAATTATAATTAACGTACAAAACTGAGAAGATGTGTTTTTACAATGAAGTTAATTTTCTTATTCGACGCATGCGCACTTATAACCTCAACTATTAAGTCAAATTACAACGCACAGAAACAGAAGTATATCGCTACATCGTTGTGATTAGCACACTTACTACACGGTTTCCCTAATTAACTCAACTTTTTTGTGTGTATACGTTAATTTTCAAGTGGATAACTACATAATATAGTACATGATCGTCAACTCTTCTTTATTATTAATTTTCCGTACGTTAAGTAAAGTGAATGTAAATGACCCTTTACAGCCAATCGATTCGTTTTATGTGCAATTCAGTATGATTGGTTTATTACGATACTAACGTGACTCACTCAAATGTCAGTTATTCTCATTGTTTCAAAAACTACGCGTTTCAGGTGAGAGTCTTATTTGAATAGTTCAACAGTATATTGGTGAGTAGATGGCTGCGGAACTCGCTGCGCTCGTCCCGCAGAGGTCCACCCATAAGTTCCGCAATAATCCTTTAAATCCAATGAAGTCAGAATTTGTAAGATTATTCACTCTTTTTCAATTGGCCTTTTAACAGGAATTAGAAATGTTACTTTACTAAACTAGTAATATATTGTGACAAGTTATTCAAGTACAAATAAGTGGATTGTTGTGGAACTTATGGGTAAACTCAGCCATCTATTCACCAATATGTTGTTCAAGTACAATACTAACCTGACTCAGTTGTGAATTTTTTTCATTAGTTCAAAAACTACACGTTTCAGGTGAGTGTCTTATTTGAACAGTTCAACAGTATATTGGTGAGTAGATGGCTGTGGATTGTGCAAGATACGGTTTTTCGAAGGAATGGCCCATGAAAATATGGGAATAGGGGAGTTATTTAGGAGAATAAGGTGATTTTAAATAGGTAGGTACAGGGTGTTTTTTTTTTATAAATTGACACCCCACCTACACCTTTACCTTTAAAGGTAAAAGAAAGGTTTAAATACAAAAGTTGTACAGTTTCGGCTGAATTTTTAGAAACCATGGTCAGAAACAAAATTTGAATCTCAGAAATGTGAAATTTTGCATGCTTCCAACTTTTTTGGGATGCCGTATATTTCATTCTATATTCTTGAAGAGCACAATGCCCCGATCTATATTTGATTGAGCAATCTCTCATATATTTGGCTCCAAAAATTGTAAAAATACTATTATATCCTACTACTTACTGATTTTGTGAACCATTCTACCTGTACAGGTGAAAGCTGCAGGTAAAATTTGAGGTACTTCGTTTCTCTGATAGTATTTTTAAGATTTTTAGAACCAAATATGTTGGAGACGGCTCAACCAAATATAGACAAACTATATAGTTTTGGAATCGAGAAATTATGTTCTTCAAGAATATAGAACTAAATATAGGGCACCCCATTTGAAAAAAGCTGAAAACATACAATATTTCACATTTTTGTCATTCAATTTTTATTTTTGACCATGGATTTTAAAAATTTAGCCAATACTGTACAACTTTTGTATTCACACCTTTCATCTACCTGTAAAGGTAAAGGCTGTAGGTAGAGTAGGTGGGGTGTCAATATATACCCTGCGTTTTTATTCTCATCAAATTTTACCGATGGATCCACCATTCTATGGCCGTCATTGTCATTTTCCATTCACTAAACAAAGATAGCTAACTCATCGGTGAAGTCACCGATGAGAATAAAAACGAGGGGATACATATAAAAAAACATCCTATACATGATCTTATTGATTTTGTATGAATTAGAACAAAAAAAAAAACAATACATCAACTCAACCACTGATGATATACTAAATATTTGAGGTTAAAGTTCTTGGGACAAAGACAAAAGTGTGATTTTTTTATAGTTTTTCAGCTTTCTAAACCCCCCTCTGTCCCCCACTGTATCCGCCACTGGGGCAGTGGCGTAGCCAGCCTTGCGGGGCGGAGGGGGCAAACATATAAAGGGCGCATAATTCTTTGGGGCGGGGGGTGGATAAAATAAATGTTTGTAATCGTATGGTTTCGTAATATTTGCTTATTGGTGGAAGATATCAAAGACGAAACGCCGCAGGCGAAAAATTTTCTCGAGTTCACGCCCAAAAAAGTTTATCGAAGCGTTCAAAAACATTTTTTTTTTCGGTTACCAGGCCGAAAACCATTTATGTATTTCAAGCCTTACATGAAATAATGTGTGGACATGCCGTTAACTTCAAAAATCCTCCCGAACGTTTCCGGGGACGCCTTGAAAAATAGAACAAATCCGGGGAAATCCGGACGGATGACAGCCCCACCCAACCCATTTACCCAATAAACAAATACCACATCAATCATAAAAACAGAAACTATCACCTTTCCTTTGATTGAACTGAACCATTTGCCGACAAGGCCGACTGAGGTACGATAAAGAATAAAGAGTGAAGAGGTCAATGAAATAAATAAGAAACAGCATAATTTTATAATCTCTCATTTTTTGCTTTTGTTTTTCAAGAGCGGTAGGGGCGCCATAAGTGTGGGGGGGGGGCGTCGCCCCCCGCTGCTCCCCTACTGGCTACGCCACTGCACTGGGGGTGATATTTATAATTTATAGCCAATAACCTGTACCTATGTATAGGTATGCACTGAAGAATTCATATTGGTCGAAACATGGGCATATTTTTTTGGAAAAGGGTAATAATACTTGTAACCAAAACCTGTTAACGCTTCAAGATTAGAGTGATTTTTTTGACCGCAGAGAAATTTTGAAAACCCATCGGTTAAATTTAAATTATCAACTAACCAACGAAAGTATAATAATAAATACTCACTAGAGTTATTTCTTGAGTATAAGATCAATTTTCGGGCTCGTCAATTCTGCAAACCTATCAATAACATCCTCATAAAAGGGTTGGGTGTTTATCAGCTCATTTACCAAATCCTTTTCAATTGAAATGTTTGCCATCGCTGGAAGCCTTTCTTCAGTGCTTGCTTTGCTCAGGTAGTTTTTCACCTTATCCAAACACGAAGTGGTACCCACCCGGGTAAACGGTATGGCCAATAATAAACAGAATAATTTATAGGATTCTTTTAGTACATCACTGTCGTTATTTAAAACTGTTAACAACTCCTGTGGGTTAGTTACTTGATATTTTTCATCAGCATAAATCAGTTGCAATTCAGTTTTTAGTCTCTGGATTCTGGACTCGGTAAAGATGTTTGGATACGTCTCTTTTATACAGCATAACGAGTCTTTGGGCAACTTACCCAATTTGGAAATATGGAATAAAGTAAACATTCGTATTTTATTTATATTCTCGAAACGTGTATTGAGTTGCACTAATATTGTATCCAATATTTCATAATACATATTTTTATAAATGTCTTCGTGTTCTGGATGTAAAGGTGTTGCTCTTATCAAAGTTGGAAAATATAATTCTTGGAATGCACTCTTATTTCTTTTCTCCATCAATAATTTTTGAACCTTACTGAACTCCGATATGCAATTATCGATTTTGGTATACGACACCTTTTGCAACTCTTGACAAAAAGTTTCTGTAAGGTCAAAAATGTCGCCGAAAATAGCGGCCAACAAGGCAAATTCAAATTCATCAGTAAATACTTTAAGAAAGTACCTACTTTTTTTAATCAAAAGCGGATCAGAATCTGTTTTTTCTATAATATGAGTAAATAAATCTTTCAAATCGTCCCAGCAATTATTGACCAAAGTCAATACGTCTAAAGTTGATGTAGCTTCCTCCATTCCCTTTCCTGCAGATGTTTCAGCTACACAGCTATATTTGGCGCACTGGTGAAAAAATGATAGCAAACTGCTTACGTTAGCAAAAAATGCACTGAATTTTGAATTGCCGTTGCAACTTTGCTCTAATAGAAAATTTAATTTATGCGCTGAGGAATGGACAAAACTCGCATCCGATTTCGATTTGATGGTTTCTTCAAGAAGTTTTAAATGTTCAGATTTTATGCAAGATCCATCATAGCTCTGAGCAATAAGTTTGGATGGGAACATATAGCGTGCAACATAATCCATGATCATTTCAGACAAATCATTAGGGTTTTTATCTGGGTTAGTCTGATGAAATCCCAAAAATCTTTCTCTTACTAGTCCGTCGTCAGGCAGAACATATCTAACAATAATGCTGCATTGGGATTGTTTATTTATACTAACATCATCAATTTGAAATGAGAAAAAATTAGATTTCTTCAGTTCTTTCTGTATAACTTCTTCCAAATATTTAGAAAGACAATCAAGTATTTCCATTTGAAAACCCGTTTCAGAAGTGAATAAATGCCTGATTGTTTTATAGTGTTCTCGTATATCAATCGTGCTTGTAGACACTAAAGTTTCCAAAAGTTCATTAAAATTTTCAGTGTTAAACGGTAAAACTTGTTTTCCCAGATAGAGAACTGCTTTAATTGGCAACTGCATGAAGCGCCTGTTAAGCAATACTTTTTCATTAAATTTTTGAATATGCAATCTAGAGTTTTCTCTTGGACACTCTGGAATAGCATATTTTTTAACTCTTAATCGCTTGAGATCCAATGCACAACGTAAATGATCGGCGGAAATCTCATGTTTCACTAGAGACCGAGCAGCATTGACAATGTCACTAAAACCACCAGTATTCCATACGCCAATTTTTGTTCTCATAAGTACACAGGGCAAACAGAACAGTTTATTCAAATAGTAGCTACCACACAACCAATCATATTGAGAATAATACGATGACGAAAACTTTCGTACACACGATTGGTCTTTCCATTTATATAGTTTGTTTATTTCTAAATTTGGCATAGGCTTTTCGTTCGATAGAAAATCTATTATATCTTTTTCGCACCACGAATTAAAATGTTTTTCTAACAGAGTACAAATGGGGTCGTATATGGGAAATGTTTCCATTTTGTCCACTTTCACTAATGCACAGTTTAACTATTCACCAGAGCAAAAACATTTTTAACTATTCACCAGAATAAAAAGCGACGAATTCCGATTGCGTACCTACTCGAAAACAGACTGCAGAGGACAGAGTCGAGTGAGTGAATCAACCGTCGCCGCTACTTCACCAGTAGGGATTCGGAAACTGAACTGAGGGTCGACGCCAGCGCCAGTGTGTGCACGAAATATCTATGTTTCAAAAATATCGATTTTTTCATTTCGATGTTCATATCGATGTTTTTTTATTCGATATTATTAGGGAACATCGATATTTTTTGCAATGTTTTTTCGAGGTTTTATTCTAAATACTACACCATTATTTACTTTCGCAGAGTCCCTTAGCAAAATTTGATGAAAATCCATTTGAACATTGGGAAGAAATAAAGAGTGTATATCTGCAACTTCAAAATACTTAAGCGTTGTAGCAACTTCGGTTCAATCGGACAGACTATTTTCAAATGCAGGACAAATTTTAATACAACAACGCCAGACTTGGGAAAGGAAAAAAATTCTCAGAATTGCTGCTCTTGGATGATAATTGTGATTCAAATATGTTTTGAGATATCTACGTCGATAAAATGAAATAAATAGATATTTTCAAGCCGATATTTTCACATCGATAGTGCATATTCGATGTATCATCTGATCTCAAAACATCGATCTTTTCAAAATTTTGCGCATTCCTAGCCAGACCGAACTGAAACCTAAAAACCTGAATAAATGTCAAGGTCGTACGAAAATGATTGACGAAATGTGTTCGTTTGTTTTCTTATCAAGAGTAATATACAGACCGGACCAACCTACTACACATAATATGGGCAATAATAAAAGGTAAGACGAATAACCTTGTACCCGGTTCGAAACATCGTAGCGGTGCCGAAAATGCACGAATTTTATTAACATGCAGTGACATGAGTATCCGTCAACTGTTCCAATTAGCAGTATCAGTTTATGTGAAAATGCCATCCCCCGAATTACAACATAAAAAATACCAGCAGCATTGAAATGCAAAGTCAAGGACAAACTTGATGAGATGGTGGATGAAAATATCATTATTCCAGTGACAGAACCAACAGATTGGGTTCATCCAATTGTGATTGCACCTAAGGCAATTGGCGACATACGTGTTTGTATGGACCCCAGGTCATTGAACCTCTATAGATTAAACGTGAATTATTCCAAATTCCTACTCAAGACGTTATTTTTTCTGAATTAGCGGGTGCCGAATAATTTACCTTGTTGCATATAACGCGTTTCTTCATATTCCTTTGGATTACAAAAGCTCTATGATGACTATCTCGACTCCTTTTGGCCGTTACCGTTATGTACGCCTTCCATATGGTTTGAGTTCTTCACCGGAAATTTTTCAAAAATTTATGTACGATACCCTCTGTGGCTTTCAGGGTGTCATCGCATATTTTGACGATGTTTTGATTTTCGGGAAAACACTGGAGGAACATAACAGAAATTTAGAGGAAAGAATTCCCAAATCAGCTCTCACTTTAAACCCGCAGAAATCAAAATTTGGCATCACAGAAGAAAATTTTTTGGGTCATATGATAAGCAGCAAAGGAATAGAAGTAGATTCTGACAAAACCAAGACAATTTTGAACATGGAGCCACCAACATGTAAAAAAGACCTTCAAAGATTCCTAGGAATGATGGAATACCTCTCTAAATTCATCTCCAATCTATGTAAAGGAACTGCGATACTAATGGCCGTTTGCTCATAAAAATTGCTCACCATTGGAATTAAAGAAATATTGGCAATTAAAGGATGAAATTTATCCGCATGAAAACATTATTTTCTACCGAACTAGAATTATTGTGCCAAAAGTCCTTTGACCAGAATTTTTGTCTTTGCTACATCAGGGTGTCGTTTCAACCAGTTTACTGGCCAGATATAACCACTGATATTGAGAATACCGTCATATTTTGTCTAATATGTCAACAATATGCAAAATCTAACACAAGAGAACCATTAAAACCTCACCAGGTTCCTGATTTACCATGGGAAGAAATAGCAGTGGATTTCAAGCAGCTAGGCCAACTAAATTTTATTCTTGTAGACTATTTTAGTAAATTTGTAGTCGTGAATAAAATCGCAAACGGAACCGGAGAAAGCGTAATCTCATATATTGAGTATATTTTTGCTATTCATGGTTTACCACCACAAATAGTCTCAGACTATCAATGGTCCACCTTATAATTCTGTAGAATTTCAAAAATTTGCAAAAAATTATGAGATAAAGTTAACAACTTCAAGCCCAAATTATCCTCCGTCCAATGGTCAAGTGGAAAAGGCTATTAGAACTGTGAAAGGTTTACCTATTGAAGCCTATAAAGATGGCAGTGACCCATTTTTAAGTGTTTTAACCTATAATATGACACCTAAGCAAGATCTCCGAGCCCCTTGTCATTTGTCGATAGGCCAGAGATTAAGGACAACGTTGCCTGTGCTTAATAAATTGATGTGCCCACAATATTCTAAAGAAAAAGCCAAAACAACTTTGGAAGCGCGACAAAACAAGCAAAAAACCTATTATGACCAGAAATCTAAGGCCGAAGGCCCTTTCACAATTGTCTCCAAATCAACCAATCCTGATCTAAAAAGGAACAAAATCTTGGCAGCCTGGAGTAGCTGTACAAGAATTTGGACCAAATGATTATAAACAGTTATTGGAGACTTCAACTGTTGACCAACCAAAAATAAAGCAAGATGATAGCAATCCTTGAGCGCTCCCAAACAGCAGGATCATCAAAAGGTGCCCTCTGATTTGAACGTGTTACCAAAAGAAGCTTCCGAAAACTTTGAACAGTCATATCTATATATATAAAAATTAAAGCCACTTTTCGTTGTAATTTTATAACTCAAGAACGGGCTCACCTAGCCAATCCAAATGTTTAGGCTTTGTTCGGACTATTTATTAGATGGTTTTTGTGAAGTTTGCACAAAATCGGTCGAGCGGTTCTTCATTTATCACATTTTTTGTAATAAATGAATTATTCAATAAATGGAGGATCATTTTGTTAATGGGAATTTTGCTGTCAAATTGAAACTTTTTTCAGCGTGGTGTTATGTCATTAATGTGGTCATTTCATTACTTATTTTATTTATTTATGAAAAAAATTTACCAAGCCCGAGCATACGGCGCCATCTCTTATAACCGATACCAAGTTTATTTTGTATTTTGTATACCGCGTTATCACTGATACCTGGAACGAAGCTCGGCATTGCAAATACAGTGGAGTAGAACAAAACTATTCCACTATTCCGATCAGATAGAGTGGTGCAGAAAGAGTAGATCAGATAGAGTAGTGCAGATAAAGTAGAATAGATGGAGTAGTGCAGTGCATGCAGTGCAGATAGAGTGAAACAGGGCTGCGCTAGAGATTTTTTTTTCTTTTCATTATTTGAACATTCCTGTGCCTGAGTTTATTTATTTGGTGGTACACTTTACAAGAATAATGCCCACAAGCTGCCTAAAAAAGGATGATGTAAAATTTTAATTTTAGGTGACTTCTGATCCAGAGAGTAAACATTAATTTTCTTCAACCAAAGCCAAATTCACCATCGAAAAAAACTGAATTTAATTCAGCTAATAGATACGTTAACACAACATTTAATAGGTATATTTAATAATTCAGAGGCGGTACGAAGTTTACCGGCTCAGCTAGTTCAGAATAAAAGTAATTGCTATGAATCCAGTGATAAAAAAACAGTGCGCCTGTGAACCTCTGTTACTTGGAGACGCTGACCCTATAACACGGTGGAAAAATGTTTAACAGAAATACACTCAGATTACTCAAATTAATGTAGAATCCAAAAACATATTCAAAATGGGTTATTCTATTTAAATTAAGCAAGAAATGTAACATTTTTTGCTATATTTTCTAAACCCGACTTTCCATTTTTTTATGATCAATGAATTTCTCATGAAAATCCCAACAGCTTTTATATTTAACATTTTTTTGTATCTCTTCAATTAACAGGTACGTAAGGTAAAGAGCACTTTCGTTGGATAATCCTGTACAGGTTGATCCAGTATAAAGTGAACACCCCCTACCTTTCCGCTAAAAAACTTATTTTCAAAAAAATCAAGCAAGGAAAGCTGCAGGTCCAGACGGTGTCTACTCAGAACTGATTATAATCCTAAAAAGTGAGGAGTCACTACACGCAATAGTCAGCTTTTCATTATGGTTTATCGATCGGGCATCATCCCTCTGACTGGCTTAATTCAACAATTGTGACGCTCCCAAAGAAAAGCTGTGCAAAAAGAGGTAGCGATTATCGACTTATTAGCTTGATGAGCCACTTTCTCAAGATTTCTCTAAAGATCTTCCATGAAAAAATATACGCAAAGTACGAGTCCTTCACGGGCGAATCCCAATATAGTTTTCGTAACGGTTTTGGCACAAGAGAGGCCCTGATGTTTAGCATCCAAATGCTAGTTCAAAGATATAGAGCAGCTTCTGTTCATGTATACGCATGC